TCTCACAAGACATACTCACATTGATCACATTCGCTAAATGAGCTAGTTAGGTCAATGGCAAATTTGAGAAATAAATTACACACACAAAAATGGTCCCTGAGCGCGGGCTCTACGGGCGCTGTGATTGGCCAGTGTTTTTCGTTAATAATTCGAAAACGAAGCTTCAAGCTACATTTTGGAAAAGGAGAAAGTTGTTCAGAGTCACCCCAGCAACCCCCCATTTCCGGATTTTCCCAGAGTTACGGGACACCCTGTATACATACGTACACATTGGACAAGGGAATCAGTGCAATTTAACAAATGGGAGTAAAATTGGGCTGCAAACAAAAAAGTGAATTACCAGTTAATAAAACAATAACTTTTAAAATATTAACTCAAAACCTTCAACAGAATTTTGCAAAAATTAGTAAATGAATTGACTTGAAATTTAGCATACATACGGGGTATCCCATTAATTCTATCAATCTCAAATATGTCCTTTATTTCAAGAAACGGGCGAAATCAGTAACTACAAATGTTATACGGTTGCAAGAAAGACATAACACGATGGTGATACTTTCTTAACAGGTTGAGGCGCAGACGAGATCTGGAGGGCCATTTTGCTCATTTAAACAGAATGTTCTATTTTATATAGTCAAATTCGGTAGAGCACTAAAATACATTTACCCTAAGCCTCGCCGTTACTGAAATATTCTTTGATGTAAATTTCTCATAGCCATAGGATTCTCCACTGTCCAATAGTGCATATTATGTAAAGCAGTATATCAACGAGAAGAAGCATTATTGAATTTGTAACTGTTTTTGAGCCCGTACGTAAAATTTAGCGCATTCCACAAAATTCGTACCATATAACCACTATGTCTGATGAAGGCTAAATTTGTGACGAACGAGGATTCGTTGTACCTGCGCCTGCGCATACTAGATCGACGTTCAATCTGTCATACACTAATCTGAAAGTCACGATTCACCGTTGTAAGAACATTAATTTCGTTGTCTGCACTAGTTACAGAGTTTTTACAACTATTCTTACGAACAACGAGACTTCCGATTTCTCTAAATTTTTCGACACAATCATTCGGTGTGAAGACATGTGTGGTTTGGAAGTTTTGAATTTTCAATTACATTTTTCCTACTTTCTCCGTAAACAACGAGTCATACATATAATAAGGCTGCTATACATACAGATATAACTACCGAACGGAATCATTCTTTATGTAGAATGTCACTGTGAAAAAAAATTTTTACCTTCAATTTTTCAAGGTCGTACAAATGGAATGCCATATTTTTGTCATATCACTTATCGTTCAGTAGTTATATCAAACGACACTTATCGTGAAGCACCCTGTATAGTAAAGAGGTACTCATTCTTCGAACGATATTGATCACTGAATGAGAAAGTGAGAGGTGTCGAAGGTTTAACAATGTCAGTTCGCGATATTTACTACCTATTGTTTGTTTATATCTGAAGTACTAAGCATAGCTTCGAATATGTTTCATAATGAAAGTAACAGAATGGACAAAGTTGAATATCTTAAAAACGGTGGGTTTTACAATAAATGTACCTTAATACTTTTATACTCACAACTCGCTATTCTATTGGGTTTGACTATAAAAAGTAAGACATTCCAATAAAAAAAAAAAAATTGACCTGCGGATCTCCTCTACGCCTTTACTTGTAATGAAACTAGTACCACCGCGTTATACATTCCTTACAAACATGCAACTTCTGAAAGTACGTTCTCGCTTATTACTAAAAATAATGGAGATAATGTTCATGAAATACCCTAATCAATATATTTCGAATAAAGTATCTCTGATATATCTTGATATTAAGACAGGGCCGCCTTTACCATAAGGCGCATTAGGCTGGAGCCTCACTCTCTATGGGGCCACATTTTAAAACCTTGTGTTATTTTTATTTGATTAAAATCAGTTATTATGGAAATATCGACTTTTATTTTCAATAAACTTGAAAAAATATGTGTATGAATTTGATTCACTGAAACAGACTTGTTCTTTTGAGGCCTCGTAATGATGTTGCGCCTAGGGCCTCGAAAAGTATAAATGCGGCCCTGTATTAAGGTATATGTTTAAAAGCGAAAGCTAGAAATTTCAGCGAAATGTTTCGAATACTTTCACTTTGTCAGTTTTTCAATTTTTTACTTCTCTTGCAGTTTGAATATAGTGCTGTCCATACAGATTAATTATATACTAGGCTTTTTATTTTCGACTATTGGAAGAAGCGCAATCGTGCCAAACACTTTTTTGCTTTTACGTGAAATTTTTGCAATTACTAAACCAACGTGCACTGAAAATTTCATGTCATATAACAAAGTATGAACAAGTGAACGTGAGAAATTTTATAACGATATCGCGAATTGTTCATATTGTATAAAATTCCGTGGATACTTTAATTTCTCTTTTCGCATAATTTACGTAAGATATAAGCTGAAAGTGATCCTTTCTTTTATCGATTTCACCGTATGCATTACATTCTAATTTTCATTTAAAAAAGTAAGCAATTTTCGCCGCTCTAATTTATGCTATTGAAATATAATTCTTTTTCAGATCTGAGAAAATGAAGCGATTGTGTACGCTGTATTATGGAGGAAAGTATAAATAAATTTATTCTCGTCTATTTTACGTCTTTTGTAAGAGAAGAAAAGAACTGAGCAATTTTGTAGTTAAAATTAAGACAACTTGGCGTAACAAATGCCTTTCATAATGGTATTTGATATAAAATATTCTAAAATACCTGGTCATCCTTCCTGGCAGGCAGCTTTTATTTTCCAATTCTACTTTTCATTTTTTTTAGCACGGTATTATCGTATTTCACTTTTAAAACAACAGGAAACAAATTTAAAGAGAGAGTTATTAATAAAATTGGCATTTTTTGTATCTGATAGACGTTACTTTTCGTGGAATCCTAGACGACAGAGTAATTCACATGTAACCTAACCTCAGCACGGTTTCAAGATTATTGATCTACTTTAATTCTGCTTGTCCTGACAGAAGTAGAAGTCGTTCTACAGCGCGGGAAAATTCAAATTGATTCGAATTTTATGTAATGATACGCGATATAAGAAACTGTTAAACAATCTTTAAACAAAATAGATATTCACTTTCGTCAATATTATATAAAATTATCTGTTTATACTCTATTTACCAATTTATACATTAGGCTATTAAAGATCGACAATAACCAAATACCATTTCAATTGATTTAATCAAGTACCGTTTTATTTAATAATTGAATTAATTCAATTAATGGAAATATTATATTATTTTGAGGAAGTTACAACAAATTTTTACAAGAGACAATGTTAAAGTTCGAACTTTTTATAGGGGATAACATTTGTGCACTGTTGAATATTCGATGAATTAGTACCTTTTTATTAATGTTGTTAATGTTTTAACGTTATTTAAATATGCTTACCCATATGTGCATAATACAAATATGAACCAACACTTTCCGGTTTTAGTTTATACTGAAAACCTCCAAATGGTAATATCGAACATTGCGTAACCATTGGAACACCATCCATATGAGTTGAATTCTTTTGTCGTAAGCCATGCCAGTGAAACGATAACTCTGCAGACCCTAATTTGTTATACAAAACGACTTCTATTGTATCTCCAAGACATACCTAAAAGTTGACAATACTTTGATCCGCTGTTAAAAATAGAGTAAGTGGAAAACTCTGAAAACCTTGGTTACCTCTATTCGTGGTCCCGGACTTTTTCCATTGATTCCCAGAAAACTTGTCGTAGACATTATTTTATCGCGAATCACCGATTCGTCCTGGATTTTAGAGCCATTGTAAATGCTGCGAATGATAATAAAATCAAACATAATACAAGATATTCTTTTTAATTGCTCCGAGGGTGGATGGGAACAGCGTCCAATCGGTATTTGAAAATTTAACATTGATCGTCACATTTTTCAATAATAATAAATCAAATTTCATATGGACATTTGGAAAGAGCGTTCCTTCATCTTTAAAACGAGCGCAAGTGCAGAGCATTGTGTTTAAACAGAATCCAAATATTGTGACGTGTTGGCTCATTTCGTTCAATTTCGAAAATCGTTCGAGATAGGGAGTTAAAATTCTACACAGTTTAATCGCAAGAAGCTATCAACAGATTCTGCGAGTTTACACAAAATCGGTAACTGTAACTGCAGTTTTACGCGTTTTCACGTGGAATGACTCCAAGGCACTTTTCGAATAAACTTGTACATAGACCTTGTGTAGAATAACAGTTACTTTTATGCCCAGAGGATTTGTACGGCCTACATAATGCCATTATCTAGCTGCACCGTCTACAGTACAGGAAAACGTCTGTGATAGCTAATAATGGTATGAGAACCGGTTGAACATTGAAAAAATTCGAGATGCACTCTGTAACCAAGCGCATCAACCGTTAGTCTTCAGATTATGTTGGGAATCATACGTTCGCTCGACAATCATTCGAATTGACCGCGATTCTAACTGGTTTTTATTCGCTGTTTGAGATTTGGCGAACGTTCAGTTTTTGTATCATAAATTACTAACGTCTTTGTTATCTGATATTCTTTCGCATATAATATTTCTCGTTCTAAGTAAATGCAAATATTGATGACCCTTTTTTGCGTTAATTCGTTGTAAATGTAAACGTTTGTAAAACAACACGGTTGTTGAATAAAAAGAACTACACGTGATTGCTCATGTACAAGAGTATTTTGAAACTTCATTAATAGTTTTGGTTTATTCAACTTTCGAAAATGTACAGATTCCGTTACATTAAACGCAGTAACGAACTCTTGTGCTTTTATATTACCTGGTCGCGCCGCCAAGCAATTCGCCAACGAAGAATTTATAGCGGCATATTTTTTTCGAAAGCGCTTCGTCAGCACAAGACCGCAGACATTCGTGGTCATCATCTAATTTTTAAAGGAAAAATGTAAATTAACGCAAAATTGTTCAGTATAATAATATTACTTCATATACATATATACCGAAAATAATTTCCATCTCAACATACTCTGAATTTTACAAATTATGTAATATTTTTGAATGTTTTAGTTAGCTCATTTCTTATGTATTAGAGTAGCAATTAGTTCTCGCTGCTTGATTAGCAATTTTAAATGTTCACATTTAATACGGTTTAAAATAAACTTCATATTCAGTTTTCTCAATCACATTTTTGTGAATACATTCATTTTAATTTATATATTTATAAATTAATTGCTTCTATTACATTTCCATTTTCAGTTCCATTTCAATAAGTACCAAAACATTTCAAAGCAAACTAGAGAAAGATAAATCTATATTCTCACCCCACGCTTCAGAGCTGGAAATTCGTAGGGAAGTTTGAAAAATGATGAAAACGACAAAATTGTTAAACCACCACATTTTAACCCAGAAGATCTGGATTCTATTGAAGTCTGGTAATATACGGCAATCAAAGTATTACCATCGGAAATCATGAATCGATAATAACCCGGGAAATGAACACTGGCGATGTTACGCGGTTCACGATCATACGGCGACTTAGATGAACCTATCCTGGTTAGTGAAAGCAAGGCCTATGCTGCTTCTAGTTACGCAAGCTGTATTCGGTGTACATTCAAATTTTTTTTTATTCGAAAGCAAAATCCTGCCATAACTGTTATTAATCAATTTTTACGATAGCTTCATGAAAATACTGGTAACTAGTTTTGTGTATAATGAATAAAAATTGCACGAACTTTATTTGTTTTATTTAAAAAATACATTCACTTTTAGTGTAAAATAGAACATAGCAACATCATATTCAAAATATTGTAATGCAATGTTTACATAATGCACAGGTGTTTTTACATAAAAAATATGTACAAATTAGGTGACATTAATAATTTAGAAAAAGAGAATATAAACATAATACTTTCCGCTTTTGATTTTTTCCCAAGAAAACATAATAACAATATAGAGCTAAAACTGTAATGTGTATTGTTGTATTAATACTGACAAGTTTGAACGTTTTATTACAATAACAAGAGTTTTAGTAATTTTTTACTAAGATTACAAAAATAAAAGGAATTCCTTTGTGAAAAATAAATTAACGTTCGTATTATAGACGAACCCACAAAAATTAATTAGAAACATTAAACTGTAACTAATATACATGATATTCTGCAATAAAACTACAGAAATTTTCCAACATATTCAGGGAGTTATTTAAGCAACTGTTCAACTGTATTTATTCGAGTAAACTATTCACGTGTTCTTGATTTTTCATTTAAGTATACTGTAAATTTCATGTAGCCTTACAGAAATAAATCTAAGGGGGTAAAAATCAAGTGACTGAAGGAGCCATACTATAAGTCCACCTCATTTCAAACCGTATCTTGATAACGAATCTCATCTAACCTATTATTTATGTAATCTTTTTACTTAAAATAACCCATCCAACACGTTGGTGAAGTTTGACATTTTCAAACGGAACATTTCATTATCTTTGTTAAGTTTAAATACCGAAGAAAATATCAAATAGGAAAGTTGAACTGTTCACTCATTGTCAGTTACCCCTCAGAAATCCTTTCTGATAATCCTTAAGTGGCGAAGGAAGGGGGAGTTTCTCCAAACATGCCGTACTCAATATCTACATACGTGACCCTTCGCAATAATTCTATGCAATCCCAACACCGTCGTAATAGTCTCTAGCCTGAAACTATAGAGCGAGCATTGACTTCTAGAGCTCAGAAATTACACTAAATGTTCAAGGGATTAATATGACGATTAAAAAATAGATTTTGTTGTGATATCTACCCATGAAACCATTTCTGAGGTTATTTGAAGGTCATAGCATCATATATCATTAAACTCATTTCGACATCTGCTACAATGTTGCAAAGTCAGATACACTGCCGACAGAAAGATTCCGACCGCCTTTCCTATTTTCAAACATACTGTTTAATACAGTAGAATGTTGTAAAGCAGCAACGTATTCATTGTCCATTTGTTTTTTATGATAGTTTTCCCTGCTTTAATGCTTGTTTATACTATCTGTAAATTGCATAAACCATAATTAGAATTATTTTATCGAAGTAACACCTTTTAGCCATATAAGCAAAGGTAAAGTAATGAGCTCTATGGAATGCTGGCTCCGAACTTCCAGTACTTACTCAAATAGGTAATTAAGGATAGTTGTTGTCTAGGAAATATTGGCCACATTTTGTTCGGAAAACTAGTATAAAAGCCGAATAATGCGTGAAAAATTGTTAGTGTTGTAACAAAATAAGTATTGCAACACAAAATGCCATACGCACTTTGCATTCCGAAGGAAAATCAAAGCGAGAAATAGTTATCCAACTGAAATTATGAAACACAATGGTACATGATACCATTATATGTTTTCAAACTATTAGATCAGACGAATCTAAGAAACGATCTGAGAGACTGAAAGTTACAACAAAATCAGATCAACAAATTGTACTCTTAAATAAAAGCATGCAGTTTAACCTAGTGACTAGTATAAAAACAGGTCTCAAAGATGCTGGCTCATTTGAACGAATTACAATAAACAAACTTCTGCTTCGAGCAATAAATAAAACAAAACGAGGACAATGGGCCTCTACTCGTGGAGCACAGACATTTAAAAAAATAAGCTGAAGTACTGTGGCGTCTTAGTTATGTTTTAATGTGTAGAACCCACATTAGAACATGGTAGTGGGTCCATTCAAGTTTGGGAATGTTTCTCAGCTAGAGGAACAAGTAACATTATTCTTATACATGGTACACTAAACAAGGAATTTTATAAACAAATACTGGAACATCACGCGATTTCATCTGAACTACGTCTGATTGTACGAAAATTTGTGTTACAACAGAATAACAATCTCAAGCATACATTGAAAGTTTACCAAGGATTTCTAAGAGGGAAAGAAGAAGGAATACGAAGTACTATGAGATGACCAGCTCAATCGCCGGATCTAAATTCCATCGAGTTCCTCTGAGATCACCTAGATAAGAAGATTAGAGAATACTATCAAAAGTTTAAAAACGATCTCTAGGAAGTTGTACAAAATACTTGGAAAGATATTTCTCAAACAGCAATAAATAAACTAATTGATAGAATGTCTAGAATAACTAAAAAAATTAAAAAAGTGCAAAGGCTCATTTTTTTGACGAAAAGACTGTATAATTTTGACTTTGTATTATTATCATTAACAAAGACATTGTAAAATAATTTCTGTAATTTTTCGTATTTAAATACATCAGCCTATATTTAAATGTCCAAAACTATGTCTAACACTATGCAAACTTGTCGCTTCATTTTCATTAAGATAAAAATTTGTGACAAATATCGAACTGGTCGGAAACATTCTACCGGCAGTGTAAATGCGATGCCATTTAAAAACTGCTCATGACCTTTAAAAAACCTTAGAGATAGCGTCCAAACAAAATCTACTTGTAACATTATACTCGCCTCTTGTAACAGGTCAATTCGTCAATGTTCAAACCTAACAGGATGTTCTGTTTCTCATAATTTACCCGGTATATATATATATATATTACAATCATATAGATACAGACAGATTAGCTTTATAACATTCTAAAC